TGCTCTTGAATACATCATGACAAGTTGTGGTTCTAATGAGAGAGGGCCATTCATTCTGGGTGGAAAGTTCCCTGTGTCGACACAGAAATGTTATTAATTAAAGAGAGCTACCTGAAGCAAAAGATGAAAGGAGCACCAGACCTGCCAAGCTAAAATATGAGTGGGGATACAGCCTCGTTAGGCACATGGTCCTCGGGCCTCTGAGTGCTCAGCAGGAGGATTCCTTTAGCCTGTTGCAAGGAGCTATCCTCCAAGTTTTAACAGCTCCAGGGATGGATTCAAATACCTGCATAGTCTGCTTTAGTGCTTGGACCTCATCCTGCACCTAGGTTGGAACTGCCACTAGTCATCAAGCAAATTGCATTGATGTAGCATTGATTGGTGAGGGTAACATGCCTCTGAAGGGCTAAGGGAGCTGCTGACTGCAGGAAGCAGTTTTAGTGGGAAAGAGGGTACTTGGTGCCTGCCAGGGTTGAGCCCTTATAATGTAAGCTCTGCAGTGTGGTTTATCTCCTCTGAAATGTCAAATTCCCTCCTTCCGCATACGGAACTGGTTTGCCTGCTCTTAAGCACAGTATGAATTAATCTTGGCAAGCAAAGAAGCATTTACAATGTGTGTTCCTAGCTACAGAGCTCAGGTATGGTGAGGTTAAGTGATATGCCTGTGGTTGGGGAGGCAGAGGCAGAGACAGGAGCTGAAGCCACATGTGCAGAATCTCAGCCCAGCACCTTAATGTCAAGACCATCAGTTAATCCTTCTTCCAGCTCTGGATCATTCTGCAAATGTGTTGAACATACGTAAAAGTATGTGGCTTTGGTCTGTGTACCTCTAACATGAGGATGCTGGTGCTGCATTTACTGTGGCTCATCAGAACATGCTAATTTATGTCTTTACAGGAAACTACTGCTCAGAAGTTTTTTATTTTCTTAAATAAGTGTTAAAAGGCAAGTACTTTTTAATATAGTGATAAAACACAGTGAAGTGTCCTGAAATGTTTATAGCCCTTGGTGCTCTTCCTAGGTTGCATATTAGTAAATTCTGAGCAGTAAATTACACTATTGCTTGATTTTATCTTACTATTTAAATTCTTTCTTTACAAGTTACACAGGCTGGGAGGATGCTTGCCTTCTCAGACCAGCTTTTAGCATGGCAATGAGTTGGTCTTTCCAACCTTCTGTCCTGGAGGCTTTGTTTGAGATCAACCTTAGGTCATGAATGAAGGAGGACTGGTGGTGTTAGTCCCTTGTTCATGCTGGTTTTTTTCCTAGTACCCAGGAGGGATGTGGTAGTCTTTGCCTGGGGGAGAAATTGCAGACAACTACTGAATTGAGTGAGTGGGAC